TTCAATGCTCACTTCAACTGATACATCAAACCATAGACTGTATAAAGAAGAAAGAAGAAAGAAACATTCCTTTATTAGTCCCACAGTGGGGAAATTATTCTCTGCATTTGACCCATCCCTGTATATATAGGGAGCAAAGATGGATGACACGTATCCACTGAACAAAATTAAACCAAAATAAGCTGAATACAGGTGCTGCCATCTTGGCAGCACCTGTTGCTTGTTAGCGTGAGAGCCACCTAGCTGCTGCCTTAGCACCACGTTAGCGGTTTGGCTACAAAGACACAACAACTAACCATAATATCTCCAGAAATACATTCATGATCAAATTCACACATGTTCTACTACACAGACTCGTGATTCGTGTTGCAAATATGTGTGCGTCTGCTCTGAGCACGCATGATGGTCCTACAGCGCTGGCTAACCCTACTGTCAGTGGAAATGTTGCTAAGCTAGCTAGCGACACAGTCAGTGACTGCATGAATCATAGACTGTATAAAGATCTTGATATGCTGATACTCTGGGTATGAGTATCGTTTATTGTATAAACAGTCAACGTTTTGAGACTGACAGATAAAGTTACATCTCCTCTTGATGTTCTTATACTAGGTATATTTACTGACCCTCCAGCTTCACTACTTCACTTCAGCAGCTGTGAATCGTGACATCACACCCCCTCTTTATAGCATCAAAATACATCAGCAGGATAAGAACTACCTAAGAAAAAATGTATTTGACGTGTACTTTGATTCTGTTACCGTGAATTTTTTTAGCTAACACCAATGAGTCAAATAATGCAGCTTGGTCAGTATCAAGAAGCTTCAGACTATGACGCTCTACCCACCCCTCTAGCGTCAGTTTTGCACATCTTGTGTGCGGCGCGTGTCACTATACCCTTGTTAGCGTCTTTTCAAATGATCTTTCGTCTTCACGGGAAGTTAATTTTAGGTAACAAAACTACTTCGTTAGCTTCCTGGTTGGCACTAATTTGACTAAGTGTGTGACTACAGGTTGAGATTAAACAAACATGTGAAAACTGTTTGTTTATTTCAAGACATTGAACTGTTTTAACAGCATATTCTCAGTCTCTTACAAAAGTTTAGCATACTTTTTTCTGCTGCATGCATGTTATTTTGCCTTTGTTTTATTTCCCTCTTATGTAACCATGTTCCAATTTATCTTGGGCACACCAGCGTGTTACATAAGTGAGGATGTTATTATTAAGTTATGTTGTTTCACCACTGTTGGAGCAGCAGAAGCTCCAGACGTGCAGTAGATGCAGCCTTCTCCGGCTGCAGAGTGATTGTCCTCAGAATCAACCCCAAACCCCTTTTATTATCATTTGTTGATTCGGAGCTGCTCTGCTGTTTTGCCCCGCTGGTTCGACCCTGCCCCGTCTCGGCACGGTGGAGAAATGAGACCGAGAAAGCAAACAGGCCTTCACTCTCGCTGTTCCCCGTCAGTTTATAGATTTTCATTTCATTTGAAATGAGGCCGTCTGCAGGCCTGCTGCGCTAAGTGCAAACAGTATTTGAAGATCCCTTTCTGTTGGTTTTCCTAGGAGTTTTTTATCTTCTTCTTCCTTTAATACTGTGCTGCTCTCTCAGCATGTGTGAAAGTCCTTGTTTTTTCGCAATATGTAATGCAATATTCAGTTGGATCTAATCCATATCGGGGTTCCCTGTGGTTGTACGATTCCTCGATAGAGGTAGTTGTGTTCAGGGATTTTTAGACAGTCACATACCGTCTTTCAGAAAGTCATTGAATATCAGGTGATTTTATCAAATGGTTCACTCTGCAGGAATACAGTAGAACTTTTAGTGCCACTTGTTTCGTGCATTCAGCGTATGACATAGTATTCGATTTCCCCTCCTGAATTGAATTGCGGCATTAACAAATATAGATCCAGACCTCAGTGATTTCAGTGATTCAAGTGTCATGTTATTATTTTTCTTTTTTACTGAAAGGGAAGAACCAAAGGTCTTTGAAGGGGTCCAGATGGTTTCAGATATAGTAGAATATTATAAATTCAACAAAATAAATAATTGAAAGTAAAATTAAACTAAACTGAATTAATAAATATCAATTTATATGAAATATTAAACACAGCTACAAGCAGGAATTAGCAGCAATGAGTTAATCCACTGGATCTTCACATCCTCAGATGATTGGACTACATGAAGACCTTTCTGTTGGTTCCTGCTGCCAACAACAGAAAAAGTAGAGTTCTTTGCTTGTACCATGTTACCAAGTCAGCGATACTGAGGAAATCACAATGGCGGAAAGCGAGGTGTATTCAGCAGCTACTCCGTGGACGGGGATGGTCAACTAGCACGAGGTGGTTCTACCCGTCATCAGAGCAGCTTGTTTTCTGATTCTGTGACCAAAATCATTTTATATTTCTCAATCCAAAGGGAGTTGCATTTGAGGGAGGTGAATTGTACAACTAGTAGTTTGTTTGAGACATAGACTGTATCTAAGACTTGGAAGTAGTAGTGCTGACATCACCCAATGGTTTGTGGACTACAGTTTAGAAACATCGAATTCGGCGTCTTGGGCAACTAGTAAACAGAAGTGACCATATTTGGACACCAGAGGAGTGACTTAGAGACGCCGTATATGGCTCTGGTAGT